CGGCGGGCGGAGCCTGAGGAACCCTCTTGGCTCGGGGGATCCCGGAAGCCTCCTGCTTCCCAAGCTCGGCGGAGAGCCGACCCCTGAATGGGGCCGAGGGACCCGCCCCTCTAGCGGCGTGCAGTACCTGCCCGGCGGCCCCTGGTGTCGCGTCTCTGACCTCTCCCACCCCTTTATCTTTAACGAGCGCCCCTCCCCCGTCCAGGGCTCGGGCCGGGGTGGAGGGCAGCGGTCCGACTCTGGGATCTGGGAGCTGCTGCGACCCTGCTGATTTTGTAGGGGTGGAGGTTGGGACACCTCTGCCTTTGGGTGGTGGCAGCTCATCCTGCGGTCAAGCCTTCTCCAAATCTCCCGCCCGATAAAATAGCCATTTATAACGCCTTGACTACCAGCATCGGAGACTCTCATTGTGGAGTCTCCAGGGGGAGATGAGGATGTTGATGATCACCGGAGCTGTCCCAGAGAACCTGGTGATGGGTGTCAGGCTCCTGGGAGGCACGAGAACAAGAGCTGGTGCTACCTCTCTCAGGAGGTTATGTAAAAGACATGCTGTCTACCCAGAAGAGCTGTGAAACACAGAGACAGAACATCTTAGTTTTTATTTATTTTTTTTTAAGTCTGTAATACTTTGAAGGTATGGGCAATCAAATAATAGGAATCACAAATTGGTGAATTTCCTAACAGGCATTTTTTTCTCCTCAGAATAGTTCTTCGGTCATCCTTTCATGGAACTTCCCCATTCTACATGCAGTGTGTTCCCAAAATATTTTGTTTTACTTGAATAATTTCTTTGGTGTGCTTGATTAAAACTGGTTATTTATTCATTATCACTGGTTGCACTCTCATCACTTTCTCTTTCATTGAAGCTTCTTCCAAAATGATTGTTAGCCAAATGATTTTAAAAATTAAACGTTAAAATTTTTCAATTTGGATCTAGTGTATATGTATTTTTATTTGTGCTTATGGTCAGAAAAGGGCAGAGTTTGTGGAAAATAAAGAAACTATAATCATAGCACACAACTTGCCTCCAGGTTTTATACGGTTGATTTCCATTGTTTATTTTTAGACCAAAATTATGTGACATTCATAGTGTTTTTTTGTAATTAGGGTGGGATAGGATCCTGTATTATGCATATATGCGCACACACATATGCACACATATGTATTCTGTACCTGTACACATTTGTGTATTTTGGAATTGAGTTAAAATATATTGTTATATTATTGCAGAAAAGACAGCTTTAGATAGGGCAAAGAAGAGTAAGTCATAATATTACCCCCAGATCACATGATGGGATTGTATGGCAGAATGAGATATCTAGGGAGGTTGGAAATCTGGGCGCTTTTAAAAATAGGATAGATTGTCATCTGTCTGAGGTTGTCATTGGGATGGATTAAGTGGCCTATTAAGGCTGTTTGTAATTCTAAACTTTTATGAATTGTTTTCCCTAAGGTTTTTATCATTTTGCTTCTTAAATTTCCAGTCATGCTGCTGTTTACATGTGACACCTATCCATTCATTTGATGGTCATGTATTCCACTCCCAACACAGACATCCTCGGGTGTGTGTGTGGGGGGATATGAATGTGCCACTTAATCTGCTCATTCATAGGAACATCTCCTGAAAATCCCATTTGATTTGAAGGAATTTCAGAGAATGTGTTGCTGATGGGGCTGTATATTGGTTAGTAGAGGATGCGCATATAGTAATAAATTCTAATGTCCAAAGCATTGTTTTCCCAAAACAGTAAGACTGAATTATTCCGTAATATTTTAAATAGAAAAAAAAGGATAATACATTGAGCAGCTGGTCTTCCAAAGTTAAGATTTTAGGGCTGGGCATATATAGCTCAGTGCTAACTCAGTGATCCTGTACTTCTCTTGCATGTACATGGTTATTCAGTATCCAGCCTTACCCCCTCAATCAGATTTCCAAAAATTAAGATGACAGTAATGATAATATTGTGGTTTGGACTGTGGGGCCAAGCTTGTGTTAGGATAAAAGCATACTCTGAAACAAAAGTTGAATTCTGTAGTTGGACAGCTTTATAAGTAATAAACTTTGGTAAAGATAATTTTTTTTTCAATGCTGGTGATTGAACCAGGGCCTGGCTCGTGCTACACCACTGCTCTGCCACTTACTACATCCCCAATCCTAAGATTTTTTTTTTTTTTATTGTTAATAAAACTGGCTTAACACACATGAAATGGATTGTTGTAGGCCAGTGGTGGTGAACCTGTAGCCTGAGTGCTACAGTGGGCTGTTATTATTGAAAGCTCTAAAAGGCTCACATTGTATCAAGGCACATGCTACAAATTATTATGAAGTTTAAAACAAAATAGTATTCAAGTCATTTAAAAAGGGATTTGCATTTTTACGTCAGAATTGCTTATTTTTACTTAACTGAGAAATGGCCTTAAAGGATGTCAAGGATTCAAAATCAAATAATTTTGGGTTTTTTTTTTTTGAGACAGGGTGTCACTATGTAGTTGAGACTGACCTGGAACTCACTATGTAGCCCAGGCTGGTCTTGAAATCACAGCAATCCCCTCCTGCCTCAGCCTCCGTAGTGCTGGGATTACAGGTATGTGCCCCCACAACCAGCTAAAATCTTTTTTTTTTAATGGGGGGAAGAAAAGGAATTTACAAAGCCAGCATATCAGAATTTGTTTAACTGATTAAGTATGGTAAGGAAGCATAAAAATATAATTTACTAAAAAAATGTAATTTACTTATTAGATGCCAGATCTGATTTTTATGATTATAATTTGTTGTGCTGTGCTTACTGGGCACTCTAAATTAATGGGAATGTTGGAGAAGGGAAAGGAGGGGGAGGGAAAGTAAAAATAATTCAGCTATGTTAATGCACATGTATATATATCACCATTATATACTGCAAACATATAGTACTAATAAAAATAAAAAAATAATGGGAATATTAAATTCCAAATGAGATCCTTGAGCAAGAAAGTATGACAGGTGAATCAGATGATTGACTGATTTTTATCTAC